TGTCCCATCTATATTGGGCTTATCAATTTTTTTTTTCATTCATAGCGCTTTGTGCTCACGCTTCACTCTGAAATTTATTCGTGCGGTTGTTTGCACACCTGTGTTTGGGTAGCCCACTTTGTGGAGATTACCTGTACTCGGGACTTTTCTTATCTCGAAAAGGAAAATCATTTCGGATGAAACCTCTCTCTCTCTCTCTCTCTCTCTCTCTCTGGTCCGGAGAAAAGGAACAATCGCAACCACATTTGCCATCTAAGAGCTTTTGTTAATATTGGAGTGGTACGCATGTTGCAAAGTATACGTATACATACGTAGGTATTTTTTTTCAATCAAGTCAAAGCTGAGTATATAACATACACCCAGGTTCGTGATAAAGGAGCCCGCGAGTAAATTAGTTTGGTGGGAGATTAAAAGTTCCTGCAGCCTAAGTATAAGTGTGCATATTGTATAGTGCATCTTTGTGGTTTGTACGTGAGTTGCGGAATTCCTCCTGCGAATAGCCTGCGCAGGTTATAGGCACGGCCTACCGGCTCGGCCCCATTGGCCTAGCCACCGGTCACGCCCACGTGTATACGTTCTCTCTTTCTTGAGGCTCTCCCCCCATCCCCTGCCGCTCGTCAGTCAGTCAGTCAATGGTTTGGCGCTTCTTGTGGTTTAGCTACCTGCCGCTTGGGGGCGCGCCGGAACTTGCTTATAGTCTTAGGTGCGATGGGGCTTGCAAGTTTCTTGGGATAATCACACCCGTTGTTCTTTTGTGTGGATCTCAATTTTTTTATTTTTTTTTATTTTTATATTTATGTTCTTTAATGGCACAGTGTAGCTGGCTTTAAGGGAAATTATTTTTATGTACGTCAAAATGAAAGATCTCTGGAGTGAGGCCAACGACATTTCTTTCATCCAATGAAACATTAAACCATACACATACATTTGATAAAGTGTTTAACTGGATCTGCGAGATATTTTTTTCTCATTCTGATATGTCAATGTTATTGTTCGTACATTCGAATGAAGAGGGTGGAGTGCTTTAGTTTGATTTTTGACACAAGTTTAGAGAACGAGAGGTTTTGATTGAGAATAAATTCGCTCGTTTTAGTCCATCTTGCAATAAGTCCTAAGATGAACAACAAACTTTGAATGAAATAAATTTATGTCGTCCTTTGAAACTATTACTATTTAACGTGGAGAGACAATAAATCGAGAAAACTATTTTTCAATGACACCTGTATCCTCGATTTTTAAAATCACCGCCAAAATACTTCATGTTATACTTCATCTTGCATGTAAGCTTATGAATGATAACTTAAATGTACCTACGTCTACAATCAACTTAAACCAACGATGTTTCTCGTATGAGGTATTTATGAGTCATCCTTCAAGTTCATACGTATACATAGTTCTGAGACTCTCTAGAAATCTGCAAGATCCAGAGTACAGTAGATTTTAAGAATAAAATGATCGATCTTATCTCAAGGATATTAATGATCTCATAAAAATGTTAAAAGGTACGTTCTTGGCAGTACTCGAGGCAATCCTTCGCTCGAAACACTAATTTGAAAGGAAACGGAGCCAAACGCCGAAGGGCCAACATCGGGGAGGGTAAAAATGGCTCTATTATAACCACGCACCCAGAAACGAATCCTTGCACTTTTTTGCACTCATGACGACCCCTAACGAACAACGCACACGCGAAAACGCAATTGTTTTTGTTGTTTCTTCATCGCCGGCAACACGTAACGCAATATAGCAGCCAACATTTGAATTTCAAATCGAGATCATTAATTAAATTGAAAGCCTCGCGCACTCAACTGCTTTCTGTATCCTTTTTTTTCTTCGATTCCCTCAAACATGTTGTTAAAAGCCTCTTCGTTTTACAGCCAAACACTACAAAGAACTACCTGCGGGCCATCTTTTTTCTTTTCCTCGTTCGTGCTCTGCAAAGCGTGTGCCATATGCCTTCCCTTTTTCAATGATCTGACGCAAATTGCACAACTTACAAATGATCTAAAAAAAAGTCTCCGTATATATACATCTATCATTCCATGTATACAAAAGAATGACAACGACATAGGATAATCAGTGTTCCATATACCTATTGGTAAAACGTAAATTGCAAATACCTAGTAAGAAGCTTGAATCTGTGTGCATCAGAGTACAATTTTTGAGGTACGAATGGTCAAAAGCTTATAAGATGGAAGACCTTCCTTGTGCTATTGGGAAAGCCAAGAGAATCACATTGGCTTATACAAATCGTGATCGTAAATAATATCCCACCAACTAATATGTCCAGAAAAACAAAAAATTGTACCGAGACAAACCAAACAGTGGAACGTTGGCCACGCGTTTGATATTTAAGAGCCACAAATATGCGTCTGGATTTGCATGCACGCCGGCATTTCTCTTCCCTTTTTGGTCCATGGTTGTTCGAATGCTCGCATGGGTGGCGTGGCCTCTTAAGTGGCACGATGTGAGCGCACGTGTGCTGCTCCTCCTCCTACTCGTCCGTGGCTTGTTTTTCCAGGAAAATTGATTTTTGAAGGATTCAACGAGGACACGAGCTTGCGGCCCGGAAAATTTGATGCCTCGCATCTGGAATGCCGACGGTTTGGGGTGGAAAAGTGCTATCTCGAGTTTTTTTTTCAAGGGCAAAGTTACTTGACTCGGAAAATTTCTATTGGTATAAAGTTTAAAAATGCTTGCATTGGACAGTGAAATCTGTAGGGTGTGTAGTGCATGGCCGAATTTTCGAAACAAAAGTTCATCATCGACACGCAGCGAGTAAATTCCACGAAAATCAAACAAAATGCTGCAAGCACGTATTTCATTGTCAATTAGAACAGTTAATTCTCCCAAAATGACGTAATTTAATTTTAACTTGTGGATAAATTATTTTTTCATCATTGTTCACTAATTGTACTAAAAACTATACATGTGTCCCATAGATCTGTTTACTCGAAACTTTGACAGGTGTAAAGATAAAATCTTGATCCATGTAATCTCTACTTCTCTATTTGTATTTTGAAGAATCTACGCAAAGAACAGTGAGATAATAGAAAAAAAAAAACAAACGTTTTATAGGTTGGATTAATGCTACACAAGTTTGTTGCTTCAATCATCTCCATGGATTATTATTATTGTTTTTTTTTTTTTTTTACCAAAGTCAAGATAAAAGTTCAAGGACAAGTCCGTGTCCTCTCGCAGAGTATATATATTTATATCGTGGAATATTATGAATCTCACCGTGGAATAATATTACTCGGATTTTTCCTCGCATGTTGCAAAGTATACGTATACATACGTAGGTATTTTTTTTCTTTTTACCTCGTACGTAACCAACGTTAACGTCGCGATGATGAAAAATCGCGAAATCGTTGCCACGTGCATACTTAATAGTACAAACTCAGGTGTACTGCACACGCATCCCTGTGAGTGTCGCCCGACACGCGACGGGATTGACTTTATCGCACCAGGCCATCTCTGGAATCCCATTGGCCAGTGCAATGCGTACTTGGGTTCACCCACTGTATTCCTTGTATACAGACGCGTGGGATATCGGTGACGTTGATTATCGACACATTGGCTGTAAACGGGGCTCCGTGAGTTTTTTTTTTTCCTTTTCAATCGCAACGCGAAGACAAATTTAATCCACATTCAACTCGACGTCCCAGTGGATTCGTAGCACGTGTCTTTTGATTAAATCATGCGAGATCGTCAGAACGAAAGAACACACTGTAGGATGCACGGGTGATCAAAACGAGCCGGAGATAACGCGCTCTCGCGCAATTAATAAAATCGAGCCGGGCTGAAAAGTATACGTCGTCGGTTTGTTTGCAGTCACGTGGCCGGGGCTGTGTGAGATGAAAAGGCAAGCAAATAGAAAAAAAAAGTGGGGGTGGGGCATCCCTGTCTGCCCCGCGCGCTCTGGGTCAATATTAGCACGGCGACGGGAGATAACGCGCTGATATTGAATGTCTCTTGCTCTGTATGCGATGTTTTCGCTCGGTGGTGTGTTTGCCGGCCGCTTTTGGGAGAAGATGGTGAACTTTGGCGAAAATTGAAGGGTTGAATGGTTTGTCGTTCTCTATATCATGAATGTTGCAACAGTGTTTTCAATCGACAAAATGACACTTTTCAGCTCGTTTCAGCTGATTGTTATCATGCAATTAAAAAATCGCTTGTAAGAGGTAGCAAAATAAATTTTTATTCTAATGACGACAAAATATATAAGTGTCTATAGTATCAGACAACAGTTTACACAATCGAAATACTTTTTCTTATAATTTCAACTTTTTTTTTTTTTTTTTTTTTACATTTGTGACACACCCATAAACACAATCGATCGAAACAGTACACCTTTTATTATTTAATAATTATTTTGTACATTTTTGCCATGTAAAATTTATACCAGTTCTTCACTTCAGTATTGGCATTATTAATCGGACAACAGACGTAGGGATCGTTTTTGATAAAACCACAGGTCAACTCAAAGAGAAAATTCGCGTAATAAACTCCATCTGATCCTTGATTGGCTAGTTTCAAATTATTTCTATGCACTGCACAGTCCCGTACTTTGACGCATTTGCACTTTATCCGCGGCACCATGTCCTTGAAAACTGTAACAACATTTTACATTTTAAACATTAAATGATGTAAAAAAACAAAAAAATAAAGTTGAGAATTGTAACCCCCCAAGGAAAAGATTGATCTATTGCCAAAAACTTACAAGCCGCATCGGAAGCAACGGCTGCGACGAAAAAAAGAACAAGCGCGAACTTTAGAATCATTATCGCAGAGTTGGTGTCTCAGGTGCTGTCCTCAAATTGAATTTTTAATAAAGTCAAGTAAGGTACTTATACGACTCGCGCCTCTGCTTATCTCTCTCTCTAAACATGGATGCTTATCACAATAACTCGTGTTATGTATATCCTTGGAAATACCTGATGTTTATTCACGTCATCTATTCAATGCTTCGCTCAAAGTAATCGCATACCGTTTGATTAAACACGTCACGTGCGATAAAAGGTTTTTTTTTTTTTTTTTGAGCTAAAACAATTAAAAATTACCACCCTACACTTTTTTTTATTACGTTATTGCTAAAAATGTAAAATAATTCGTTACTATCAAATATTTGTTTGCACCTGAAAATCATGATGTTTCCGAGCTTCCCTCAATGGTGTACAACATTACAGTCATTTTTTAAATTTTCTTTAATATCAAAAAAGGCTTTGGAAAAAAAAAAAAAAAAAACATTCACAGTTGACGATATAAATTATTAGCAGTCAAGATGACACTTTGTAACATTTACGTAACAAACGAATGCTTATCTTTGACTCATGTTTTGTAACTTTTCTGCTTTGTCGCAAAACTTTTACACTTTGCCGACCGAACCGACCCTCGTGGTTAGCTTGAAAAAAAAAAAAAAAAAAAAAAACAATGTCTCTTCACCCCCTCTCTGAAAGCTGTAAACAAAATTTTTTTATTTCCTCCTCCAACCCGAGGCTACCGTACAGAGAGAAAAGGGAGCAGGGGAAGCGAAAAGAATCGGCCAAGCGAGTGCACATCGGACGTCGATCGAGAGCAGAGATCAGAGTGTGCACAGGCCCTATATGTATGTATAGATGGGCGCGTTCCAAATAAAATAAGGTGCGCGCCCTCACACACATAGATATACAATACACCTAATTCCGTCTGTATAATATACAGTCACCATAGCCCTGCACCGTGGATGTATACGTACATCGGCCTCCCTTCGACTCTGCTCTCGACACTTCTCATGACGCGATCTATTTACATATCAAAGTGAACCGAGGGCATCCCCCTCTGTACTTACTATCTCTCTCTCTCTCTTCGACACCTCGACGACGTCGCGTTACAATGGGAAACGCGAGCTTTGACGCTCTTTTCGCACACGCGGGCACCCGAGAGAAGACGATGTTGCACGGGTCGGAGGACTAAGCCGAAAATGGGGCGGCGCGACGGGAGCTGGATGAGCCTTGTTACGCTGTTTAATGGACCGTAAGGAGGATGCGAGCGAGAGCTTTTTTTTTTTTTTTTTTTTTTTCATTCGGTGCTCGGATCGGCTGCTTCAGCTGTGGCGCCTGGACCCTTTTTCAAGCACGGGGACTACTGAGTTTTCGCTCCTTTTGGGCTTATCAATTTTTTTTTTCATTCATAGCGCTTTGTGCTCACGCTTCACTCTGAAATTTATTCGTGCGGTTGTTTGCACACCTGTGTTTGGGTAGCCCACTTTGTGGAGATTACCTGTACTCGGGACTTTTCTTATCTCGAAAAGGAAAATCATTTCGGATGAAACCTCTCTCTCTCTCTCTCTCTCTCTCTCTCTGGTCCGGAGAAAAGGAACAATCGCAACCACATTTGCCATCTAAGAGCTTTTGTTAATATTGGAGTGGTATAGTTGTTGTTTTTTTATTTAATCAAAAAACCAATATTTTCAAGGATGACGCGTATAGTTGTATTGTTTAGCGGACACGAAAGAATAAAGACACACTATAGCAAAGTTCAAGGTTTTGTTCGTTTGTTTGTCAATGGGTGAAAATGTCGAGTGTAGAAAAAACATAGGTCGCACGAAAATGTGACTCGGAGCAAGACACACGGAGGAAAAAGCACCGCAGAGCCGGTAGATCGGAACAACAGCTCGCAGGGGAAGCCAATGGTATATGAAATGACTGACGCCTCGCGAGGGTGCACGAGGTGAGCCGTCGAAAATGCGTTCGCACGGATCATCGGCTCGGAAATATCGTGGCACGTGCGAGTCCCTTCGCTTCGAACGAAATCAAACCCCCTGTAAATAATAACCCACGGATGAGACGTCCGTGCGAGTTTAAAGGGCCCCCGGGGTCTCGTGGGCGCGTCGGCTAATTGAAAGCTCCGTATATCTCGGTGCTCGATCATCGCTGTCGCGTTAGTCGCTGCAGTCAAGTACAGGCCCATCCGTCGCCGCTGTACCGTTACGAGCTTTCAAGGGCTCGTGTCCGATTAGCCATGGACGGGGCGCCCCGATTCACCCCACCCGAGGATTTCCCACGTTTATGAGTGTAATATTCGCTCGTCAGAAGGAGGCGTGTGTTTATATACTCGTTGGCTGATGGGTCTGATGATGCATGTGTTTTACACACACACTGTTTGCCGTGGAAACTCGGTCTTGAAGTTGCTCTGTTGGTCTGGTTGGAACAGTGAATGGTATTTGAAACTTGTTCGCTGTGAATTTTTATTGCGCGAACAACGTTATGCTGGTGCGTACCTGCCGACTTGTACCATAAACTTGTACTTCCGTAAATGGACCTGTGACTTTCTAAATAAAGAGTATTCCGAAATGGGATATCTTGACCGTCTTTCCTTCCGGTCCGTACGATTTGTTGTGCACATTTTTAGCCCCGATAAACCATCAAATCAAAGTACTGCGTTGCATTTTTTCCCCAACATAATAACACGTAACAATAAGAGAACAAATTACGTTTCTTTTTTTTTTTCTCAAATTACACGTGTGTCTTTGAAAAGAAAAAAAACCCCCTACAAATGTCACAGGTCGCCCCTCAAAAGTGTACAGAAACCCGAGTGAAGAGGAAAAAAAGCTAAGGTTTTTTTTTCCTCTACCCCTCGATTTGGGGAAAAAAAGAGCGCAAGATTCTAAAATTCTACGACGCGGGACGTGGAAATAAAGGAAACAAGGAAGGGGGGAGGGGAGCTCCCCCTCTCGAGTTACAAATCTGGCTAATTCGTCGACGCGGCCCATTATCGTCGGCACAATGCCTTTTCGGCTCTCCTCCGAATTGGCCTCCATTTGACTCTCCCCCCGTGTGATCAACAACAAATCCTGCACTGTGCGTCTCGGGGCTCGCGACGACCTTTCCAAAGCAAAGGCGTACGAGGATGATAGGGTGAGACTCGTATACTCGTATTCGCAAGTCTTGAACATTTCTTACTTTTGGTACAAATTACACCATATAAACCTTGAAATTCCAAAAGCTGCACTACTCCTTCGTTTATTTAAGTATAACCTACCTTCCGATCACTCCAGCAGCCCGGTGCGTTGAACTTTTGCACCAATTTGACTTGCAGCCGGTACAACATGGTGTACCGTATATACGGCGAAATGAAAGGTATGTGTACTCGCGGAAAAAAAAAAAAACAACACGCCCAGCGATCGCAATCTCCGATTGGGGAAGATACGAGCCGATCAAAGTCCGCAAAAATATATATGGGCTCTCTCTCTCTTTGGGGATTATATTAACACCTGTGCGGTGGCCGTACGGGGGTATTGCCTCGGCCAATTGGCGTCACTCGACTCCGTAGAGGTACAAATTCATTAAAAACGATCAAATAATCAGTGATGGTATTTTTTTCTTTTTTTTTTATCAGCTGCGCGGGTAACGCACTCCCCGCGTAAACTGCCGGATATAGGTATATACACGCGTCCACGATAAAAAAAATGAAGAAGCAAGAGAGAGAGAGAGGCTGGCCCCTCGATGATTGGAGTTATGCCGACGCGTGTATACGCGATACGAAAATGGAAAATTGGGCGCGTACGTTCGCGAGACGGCCGGGGAATAAGAGAGAACGGGGGCTTGGGTGCGTTATTAACTTTTGCCGTGGATACTTAATTCGAGCGATGAGAGCCGTAATCGAGGGCCCAACAGGTGCGGCTTTGGGTTTCCTTGTTTATTTCACAGTTGGCGCGTACGTATACGTTTCGGATCATATGGGAAAATACACGTGCCCTTGTAAGCTCGAAATCCGATACGCACGTGAAACAAATGGCGTGTTAGTTTGTGGACTAGTTTTTTTACGCGTTTTGTCCCATCTATATTTTTTATTTATATATATATTTTTTTGTTGTTGTCATTATACAAGTACTGTCATGTGTCATTGTTCAATTCGTATACCACACGACCCGGAGGCAACAAAATGCTGCTCACATGGTTTTGCCTTTACAAGTATTTCCTTTTTACTCGCTTAAACTCTTTTTCACTTTGATGCATTTTTAACACGTGAAGTATTAACTTCAAACAAGTATGAGCGCTTTTGTCTGATTCTTTTTACAGTTCAATTAATTTAAAAAAAAAAAAAAAAAAAAAAAAAAAAAAATTTTTTTTTATTTTTTTCATTTTTTTTTTTTTTTTTTTTTTTTACATTTGTGACACACCCATAAACACAATCGATCGAAACAGTACACCTTTTATTATTTAATAATTATTTTGTACATTTTNAAAAAAAACAATAATGGCCCAAAGCCAAACCTAGACACTTCAAACTACAAGTGAGCAAAAACTACGTGTTACAATACTTGGTTTTCTCTTTGGCCAAACTACTCCTGCAGCTTTCAAATAATATCCATCACGAAATCCCCCGAAATGTTGCTCTGAACCGCGTCCGATAGATATTCCCTCGCGTAAGTACCGCGAAAAGCCGCGGCAAACCTGTCATTTGACATGGCACCACGCGTACAATTTGCCCGCATCGGTGTGCAACAACTCCCAATTTCGATAGTCAAAACCATCGTGGCTTTGCATCGCAACACAAGCACATACACGGAGATGTAGATAAAAAATAATCACCCCTCCATGGGATCTCCGATGCAGTGGGTGGTCCATTAATCGCAACGAAATCAACCCTTTCTCTTTCGAGCAAAGTCTGAAAAGTACGCGTATAATAAATGGTCAACGAGCGCACGCTCGCGCTTTTTCCCCGAATCGGAGATCTCGTTCCTCCCATTTTTCTTTTTACCTTTGCCTTATAGCAGAGGATGAGGTCAAGGCAGTAGTATCAGAGCAGCAAGTGC